TATGCATCTTTGTTCCGTGGTCGTCCCTTACGTTTTGTATTGCCATTAGGTAGTAATATAGATGTTCCTACTACTGAACGTTGTGGTAGTAGAAAAAAGCTTGTGAAATCTTTTTCTCTCTCTGGAATTAGTGCACGTTTACAGCAACCTAAACTGAAACATTCAGAATCTCAACATGAGGATGTTACTTACATAGCCACAAATAGAAAAGAACAAATACAAATTGGTGGTTTAAGTGAACAAAATTTGTCAAATGAATCCAAACAAATTAATTACGAAAAACTCGTTAATTTGGTTACACTCAAAACTACGAAAGCAGAGGCCTATCAAATGTCAGATCGTACTATCTTTGTACGACCAGAGTTGTTGTGTGATTTAGGTTGTGAAACTCCACGTATTAATTATGAGAGATTTTTAGGTAAATCTATTTAAATAATTCACAAATTGATATGATATTAATATATATATAATATTTTACTATTTGTAGGTAAAAAATATCGTTACTTTTATGCTATTAGTTCCGATGTAGATGCCGACAATCCTGGAACGGTATGCTAAATATTATGTTGTTTGAATGTTGATTAATCTTTTTAAATTTTCTTTTTTATATAGCTTATAAAGGTAGATCTATTTAATAAAACTTGTCAAACATGGTGCGAAAACAATTGTTATCCTAGTGAACCGGTATTTGTGGCAGCCCCCAACGCACAATTTGAGGATGATGGCGTCGTGCTAGCTTCAATGGTTTGGGGTGGCTTAAAAGATAATTATGTAGGACTATTAGTGCTATGTGCCAGAACGTGGACTGAATTGGGTCGTTGTGAGTTTCATGCAGATGGTCCGGTACCTAAATGTTTGCATGGTTGGTTTGCCAAGGATATTGTTTAAAGTAGTAGTTTTATTTTATACAAAATAATATGTATTTGTTATAATAGTTATTTTTTCTAAATTATCTTACTAAAAGTAATACAAATAAAACTATATAAATATAGTAACAAATGTATATACTTGTTATTATAGTTTTTTAAAATAAGTATTTTAAAATTGTAATAATTTTTTATTTTTTTAATATATTAAAATATATAATATAATTAAAAGAATATATAAAATTTATAAATTAAAATTTTAAGTTAACAACATTGTAAATAAATTCATCCCATTTCTTTTTAAATACTCGATTGATTTTACGACGCTCCTCTGATGTTAATACTGAATACCTATAGATAAGATAATATTTTAACATTTTTCTATTAAATTATAAATTAAATTATTGTTACTTTATAGAATTAAGTGCCAATTGTTTCAGAAATCTTAAATCAGCTTCAGCTGGTGCTAAAGACATAAATGCATAATAGAAGTCATAACTTAAGCCTTTAGCATTCCAAACGCCTGGATAATCGGCTGAAATAATGATAGGAAAATTTTCTGAAATTAGAAATGCGGCAGGATGATTCCTTAAATCCCATACGTAACCCATTATTTGATTCGCTAATGGATTAA